CCAAAAGATTCTCAGTCACTTATTCAAAGTAAATAACACGGTATAGGGATATGAGATATCTAACCAAGTGATAGCAAATTAATGGTGGCTACTCTTTTATCTATAATTTGTTAAACGATGCCTCCTATCATTTTTTTTAACAATTTAATCAACGATTTGATGATTTGATCAACTCCTATGTTACTGTTATTATATATGATTGAGATTAAAATATCTTTACATTTCTTCAATTTTACTAAAATTAATTGTTATAAAAACTTCTCTTTTATTTTTAGAACACATACTTATGTGTTAGGAGAATAAAGAAAATTAAAGCAAGTATGGATATTTTTATATAACTAAATATTTGAACGGATTTATTTTTTATTTTTTGAAGAGCCGACATGTGGAATTTTCTTGACACTATCATATAAGTGACCTAGAAATAAAGAAAATGACGGCCAAAAAAAAAAAAATTAACGAAACTTGGTTGTCCTATCTTGACTTCAAAGTCTTCGCTATAATATGGACAAATATTAGACAAACGAATTTACAAGCTTTTCCAGGGTTCACATATAATGTTCAAATTTTTGCAGTTTGAAAATCATTTTTAATGCATGTGCCTACAAAATGGATGTTTAAGACTTCCTTATAATGTGAAATTTTGAATCATTCTAATTCACTCATTCAATGTAAATAACACGGTATAGAAGAAAAAATAAAAAAAAATCTTTAACATTTAAATACGACCCATAGCACCTAAATATTATATCTATCGATTTACTATATTTTATATTTAAATATTGACACTAACTACAGAAACTGAAAACAATGGCAGAGCCACATGTTGTTGACGGGTATGAGTTTTCCTATTTTGCTGTTTGCACACCCTTTCTTTCTTATACTTTGTACCTTTTATTTTAATATTTAAAATTTAAAATCCATTTCAATCTTGTTTTCTTAGCCTAGATCTAAAATTTAATTTTTTAACTCAAAGCCCAGTGAATATTAGCCTATAATTTCACTATACTTAAATATCAATATTATTTATTAATCCTCTAAAAAATTAAAAAAAAACTAATTTGACTAAACTAGACTCACACCATCCTTGTTCTGAATGAGTACTAGTCTAAAAAAGGAAATGCAAAATGAAGATTTAAAACCCAAGAATAAACTAACGTTTTGAATTAAGAAACAAAAAAAAGAAAGAATGGAAGAGAAACGGTGAATTTAGAAGAGATGGAAAAGTTTTTCTTGTACTGAAGATCCCGATTCTGTTACTGCTCCCTGACCTAGGACCCTAGCTCTGCTACTGCTGAAAACAAAACTTTTTTAACATTACTCTGACTTCAGCTTACTTAGCTTGAATACGAATGTTAAGTTAAAATAATAATCATTTGTGGATTAGTATGTGTGTCTCACTTTCACTTGCTCACTCACGCGTGGGTGCATTATGATTATATTATTTGATATAATTAACAGAACAATTTTTGAGATTCATGTAAAACAAAGTTAGTGAATGGCATTTTATGATATGTATAGATGATTTTTTTCCCCCTAAAGTATGTATAGATGAATTGATGTCCCGTGAATAGAAGTTTGTAGAGTGATACCTATAAAGAATTTTCCAAACTGTCCCATATCAACAAATTTTATTGACCACATGTCTCATGTACACATTGTAATATCGAGGATAAGGTTTGATGGACGACCAAAATGCAAACACACTTTTTTTTAATATATATTAAATTGGCATCACATCTAGAATAATTATCGACAAAGCATTTGACTATAATAAATAATAATAAAAATAAATCTAAAATTTGAATAATATCATTTACTTGGTAATTTGATTATTAATTTTTATAAATTTAAAATGTTGGTAAGAAACAACCGGAAAATATATATGTAATAAGATGCTGGAGGGATGATTTCTTTGGTCCAGATAATAGGCCATTGGAGAGGTTATTTTGATGCATTAACTAATTATTTTCAAATTTATTAAACCTAATTATAAATCTCCTCCCAATTATAATTCAATTGAGAAGAAAATGATAGAAAATCTTTTAAGATGATTTAAATATGTATAAAAAAGACAGTTGGATGTGCCGGTGATGATGGTGGAATATTTAGTCTTGTGTTTTTTTGAAGATGCCATAGAGGGGAATCAAAAAGAACAATCGATTAAGTTTTTTGAACTGGATATTCTTGTTAACAATATACGTAAAGATTTGGATGTCAATAAAGAACAATGGTGCCATGCAATTCATAGAGTCAATCCTACCTACTAGGGACATGAGGCTTGTTGTAGCATAAATCTTGCCACAAATATAAATTTTTATTATAAAGAAAAAAATTAATATTTGTGTTAATGTGTAAAAACTCATAAAGTATCATGTGAGGAGTTTTGACATCCTTATTAAATTAAACTTGGACTTTTATTTAGACCTCTTGAAAAAAAAAAAACTGCTATTTCTATGCTTGACTTGGATCAACAAAAATTTGTAGGCTATCTCTACGGATATTATCCACTCATTTGATCATATCATCATTGAATTCATCATTTGATTTGATATTTTGAGCGGCATAAAAATTGAAAAGAAAAAAGAAAGACGACTGGGAAAGTATTTATATTACTAGATATATTTAAATATGGATTTCTTTAAACTCCCTTTTCTATTAGGAAAAGCGTTAGCTCGGTTAAAAAAAAAAATGAGACTCCATGCAATATACTTGACTTTGGTACCCATAAAAGAAAATAATTAAGGAAAAAAAATAATCAATGAAACTATGTGGCTCTTTTTTTCTTGACTTGAAAAGTCTTCTCTATTAATATAAATATTATAATACCTTTTCATGGCTGAAAATAGACTTATAGCTCATATCCTCCAATATGGGCAAATACAAACAAATGGATTACTTCAATTTCTTTATCAGTTGACTTGGAAAATATTTTGTATTCCGAATCGATATATAAAAGAAGACTGTTCTCATCCACTCATTCAAAGTAAATATCACTGTATAAAAGAAAAAGAGGAAATTTTTTCTTTATCATTTAAATATATCCCATGCATAAATGCTAAACAATTTCTCAGTTTACTCTAATTTATATTTAAATATGGACACAAACCACAAAAATGGAAAATAAAACTAATTTGCATCACTCAGACTTCATCTTACTTTAATTATCTCCAAGTAACATCACTTTTATACATACATAAACATATACAAAAATTGAACAATTTTGAAAGTTAGTGAATGATATTGTAAGATATGTACAGGTGAATTGATATGCCATGAATAAACGTTTGTACAGTCATCATCTTATAAAGAATTTTCAAAATAGATCCCATGTTAACAAATTTGATTGACCACATGTGTCATATACATCGTAATAACGAGGATAAGGTTTGATGAAGAAAGATCAACGACCACCATGAAGATCAAAGAGAACAATTGATTAAGTTTTTGAATGGGATTTTTTGATTAATAATATATCCAAGTATTTGGTTGCTAATATAGTTCAATGACACCATATAATTGATGTAGCTGATCCCATCTAGTAAAATAAACTATTCTTATTGCATAGAGCTTTCCCCCAATAGGAGTTTTATTAGAGAGAGAAAAATTAACATTTGGGTTAAGGTGTAAACATATTCATAAATATATTAATATAAATGTCAAAACCTTCTCATGTTTAGTAATTAGACTTAGCTCATATCCACCAATATGGGCAGATACTAACAATTGGATTACTTTAATTTCTTTTTCAGTTGACTTGGAAAATATTTTGGGCACATAATTCATGTCCAAAAGAAGATTGTTCCTTATATCACGATGGGCTTGAAAATGAACTAAAAGAATCTCATTCACTCATTCAAAGTAAATAACACGATATAGAGATATCTAGTTAAGTTGAGCAAATGATAATGTTGGTTAATCTTGTCTTTCCTTTTTCAAAAGACATTCCTAATCTGATTTTTTAACAACTCAATCAACACGATTTGATTTTAACTCATATGTTACTATTATTCTATATGGATGAAATTAAAATGTGTTGACCTTTCTTCAATTTTACTAAAATTAATTATTATAGAAACGTCTCTTTTTAAAGAAAATAATAAAAGAAAAAATTAACGAAATTTGGTGGTCCTTTCTTACTTGACTTCAAAGTCTTGCTTATAATATGGACAAATATAAAACAAACCATTTTGCAAGCTTTTGCTGTCCACATATTGTGGATAAATTTTACAATTTGAAATTCATTTTAATGCAGGCACCTACAAAATGGGTGTCCTCTATTTTGTTCACTCACACACGCGCGGATCATTGTGATTACATTATTCAATATAAATTGAACAATTATGAGATTTATCAAAAATAAATTTAGCGAATGACATTTTTATGATATGGATAGATGAATTGATCCGCCTTGAATAAAGGTTTGTAGAGTCATTCTATAGAGAACTTTCAAAATAGGTCCCATATTAACAAATTTTATTGACCACATGTTTCATATACATTGCAATATCGAGGATAAGGTTTGATGAAGGAACAAATGCAAACAATTTCTTTTGTTAATATATAATTAAATTAACATCACATCTAGAATAATTATCAACAAAGCATTGAATGTCTGATGCTCTTAATTGTAATTAATAATAACAATAATAAATCTAAAATTTGAATATTCTCATTAACTTTGTAATTTGATTATTTTTTCATAAATTTAAAAACCTGGTATGAAACAATTGGAAAATTTGTGAAAACGGTTCTAAAGCTTGGAGACCGGTCATCGTGTGTACTGGAATTTTTCCTTTCGTTTGTTTTGTCTTTCTTTGTGTGGAAATGCATTAATATTTGCATTCACACACACAGAGCAAACTGAAGGTTATTTAAATTTTTGTATTTAGTTATATTTATTATATGGTGATAAAATTTGACTAGAAGAGCAATTGATTTGTATAACCTCAGAAGATCCACGTTCACACCATGAAACAAAAGCTGTTAACTGGAAAACATTAATGTTCTAAACAAAAGTTGTTGTGAGACAAGTTGAGTATCTCAAGTGAGCTTGCATTGCAAAATAGAAAGGAAATATCTCCCTTAAATTTATTGTTTGAGATTGCAAAAAATTCAGCTCTAAAGAATGGAATTGGGAGGTTTCCTTGTAATTTGTTGAAGCTAAGATCAAGAAATGTGACACTTGTATTCAAAAGGGATGAAGGCACTTGACCATTGAAATTATTGTCATTTAGTTCCAAATATCGCAATTCACCAAGCTTTCCAAGCACATCTGGTATTCCACCACTAAAATTATTCATTGAAAGATCTAAGGATCGGAGACATTCAAGGTATCCAAGTGATGATGGGAGTTGACCACTAAAACTATTATTAGAAATATATAAGGAAGTGAGATTTGCAAGTGTTGAAAGGAATGAGACCCCACCACTCAATTTGTTTGAGGAAAGGTCCAACATTAATAATTTACTTAGCTTTCCAAACACATCTGGTATTCCACCACTAAAATTATTCATTGAAAGATCTAAGAGTTGGAGACATTTAAGGTATCCGAGTGATGATGGAAGTTGACCACTAAAACTATTATTAGAAAGAAATAAGGAAGTGAGATTTGCAAGTGTTGAAAGGAACGAGACCCCACCACTCAATTTGTTTGAGGAAAGGTCCAACCCTAATAAGTTACTAAGCTTTCCAAACACATCCGGTATTCCACCACTAAAATTATTCATTGAAAGATCTAAGAATTGGAGACATTTAAGGTATCCGAGTGATGATGGGAGTTGACCACTAAAACTATTATTAGAAAGATATAAGGAAGTGAGATTTGCAAGTGTTGAAAGGAATGGGACCCCACCACTCAATTTTTTTGAGGAAAGGTCCAACATTAATAATTTACTTAGCTTTCCAAACACATCTGGTCTTCCGCCACTAAAATTATTCATTGAAAGATCTAAGAATTGGAGACATTCAAGGTATCCGAGTGATGATGGGAGTTGACCACTAAAACTATTATTAGAAAGATATAAGTAAGTGAGATTTGCAAGTGTTGAAAGGAATGGGACCCCACCACTCAATTTGTTTGAGGAAAGGTCCAAACTAATGAGTTGTGTGAGATTCTTGAAACCTGGAGGTATAGGACCTTCAAATTGGCAATTTCTGAGATTTAAGCCTTTAAGAAACTTCAAATGGCCTATGGAATCTGTTAGTTCTCCTGAGAAAGGTATGCCACTGAGTTGCAAGTAAATTAGAGGAGAGCTCCAGTTGAGCTTTGAAAGTTGAACCTTAACATTTGTATTCCTACTCATATCTAGATATTTAAGATTTTCTAAATGGAAAATGCTATTTGTGATATCACCTTGCAAAGAAGTTTCTCCAAGAGAAAGATAAATTAAAGATGACGACAAATTCATGAGTCGAGAAAAAGTGTTTGGTGTAATAGAAGACATGATCACATGATCTAACCCAAGTTTCCTTAAATTGGTTTTATTTAGAACTAACTTTTCCCAAGTAGATGGTTTAAGTCTAAGTGATGAGCTCCCCATTGTACCAGAACTCCAAGACAAGTCAAGTGAGGCCAATTTAGACAACTGTGACATTTCAGATGGGATTTCACCAAAAAAATTATTATTTCCTAGTCTTAAGTAAGTGAGATGTTGTAGGTTTGAAAGGAATGAGATCTCACCAATAAACTTGTTGGAAGAAATGTCCAAATAAGTTAGTTGGGTGAGATTCTTGAAGTCTGTAGGAACCTGCCCTTCAAATTTACACCAACTTAGATCTAAATGATTAAGATATTTCAACTGGCCAATGGAATTAGACACTGTTCCTGAGAAAGATGTGTCATTAAGATCCAAAAATGAAAAAGGAGAGCTCCAATTGGACTTTGGAAGTTGACCATTGAGATTTCCATTCCATGATAAGTCTAGTTGCTGAAGATTTTTTAAGCAAAGAACGTCACTTGTGATATTTCCCTGTAACTCAGTATCTTGAAGTCTAAGGGAGACCAAAGAGGATGACAAATTCATGAGTAAAGACAAGGAGCTTGGTGGAATGGAAGACATATTTACAACATCTAAAGCAAGTTCTCGTACATTAGTCATGTTTAGAATGAGCTTCACCCATGTGGATGGTTCAAGTCCCAAAGGATTCCACTTCTCAAATGAGGAAAATCCATTCCAAGACAAATCAAGAGAGACCAATTTAAACAAATATGCAATTTTGGAAGGAATTTCACCACTAAAACTAGAGTAGCTTAAATTGAGATGAGTGAGAGTAGAAAGCTCACCAAACTGAGATGATATCAAGGACCCACTAAAATCATTGCAAGCCAAGTTGAGTGTTTGGAGATGAGAAAGTTGGAAAAGGCTACTATGTGGATGGAGTTGACCTTGAAGCCAGCTACAACTGAGATCAAGGCCAATCACGTGGCCTAACATGGAGTTACACGTGACCCTATCCCACAAGCAACAATTTGAATCATTCCCCCATGAAGCCGTCTTTGGGTAAGATGAGTTCTTAAAGTGAACAGTATAGGGGAAAGAGTCATCAAAATACTCATCACACATAATTGAAGCGGAATGATTGAGAGAGAAAGAGTGTTTGAATTGGAGAAGGGCAGAGGAGTCATGAGAATTACATAAAGGGAGGTTGAGAGAAGAAGAAAGGGAAGGAGAAAGAAAGAACAAGTAGAAACAGAGCATCATTGCAAATGCCATAACTCAAGTAGCTAAGAAGGGAATGATTAAGCGAATGATGGATATGGTGCTTTTGGCATCTACAAGATGAAGCTTCATTTATAGACGGAGTCTGGTAATGGTGGGAGGGACCTACATCAAGACTTTTCCTTACCAAAGAAACCCCTAAGCCCATAATTGTTGTGTCCTATTTTTTTTTTTTTTTTGGTCTCTTGAATTTTCGAAATCTCGACGAAACTAAAATAGTAAAATGTCTAAAATCTTTTTTCTTTGTATTCTTTCAATAACAAAGTTAGGTGTGTCTATTACAAATTAAATTGGCTTATCCTCAAACTATAAGATTGATAATTGTACAAAAATTGCTCTGCACTTTTTTCTTATCAGTGCTCTGTTTATATGTGGATGAGATTGTACGGCGAGCCACATCTGGAATTTGCATTCGCATTATTGCTTGACTTGTTTAAAATAAATGGATGCCAAATTTGATTAATGAGTGTTAGTTGATTAAAGAACAAAAGAAGCTGTTACTCTTTACAAAAATTTTAAATTCATCTCATATTCTTTATTTCTTAATTTGCAACAAATTAAAATATAACTTCATGACGAGGGTAATTTTTCATTAACTAATATCTTAAAATGATAAAAATTCGTTTAAGAACGTGCAAAAAGCATGACGCTGACAGTGCATGTGTGCTTAATATGTACCGTAAATTATTTGTTTTTAAGGAAAACGTAGCAATAAAAAAATAAAAAAGGAAAACGTAAAAGGCATGATTCTGATGGCACAAAAAAGTAAAAGGCATGATTCTAACACGCTTTCTGTTGTTTGACCCAAAAAAAAAAATCTGTTGATGATTTAATATAGCGATAAACACATTCGTATAAATAATTTTTTTGGCCCTAAATTATATATTTTTCACTTGACTTCAAATTCTTTGGTATTAATATAAATATTAAATACAACAAATAAATAACTTCAATTTAATTTTCAGTTGATCACTTAGAAAATATTTCTTATTTTTTATTGACGACTTGGAAAATATTTCATGTGCATAATCTATGTCCAAAAGAAGATTGTTTATTATAATCTCATCCACTCATGAAAAGTAAATGACATGGTGTAGAAATATATGACATATCTAAGTTATAGGCTTGTGACACCATATAGAAAAAGGAAGAAAAACTTTTGTTAACATTTAAATATACCCTATAACTGGTAAAAAAATCTATCAATTTACTCCATTTTATATTTAAATATTGACACAAACCACAAAAACTTAAAATAAAGCATATTTACATTTCTCCAACTTCAGCTTACTTAGCTTGAATTATCTCAAAGGAACTCTACGATGAGTTTTAAGTTAAAATATTAATCAATTGTGGATTAGTGTGTGTGTCTTATTCTCACTTACTAACTCAACGCGTATTGTGATTTTATTATTGAATATAATTAATTGAACAATTTTAAGATTCATGCAAAATGAAGTTAGTGAGTGACATTTTATGATAAGGTTTGACAGGTGAACAAATGCAAAGACACTTTTTTTGTTGATATATATTTAAATTAACAACATATCTAGAATAATTATCAACAAAGCATTGAATGTCTGGTGCTCTAGCTATAATAATAGTAGTAGTAGTAGTAGTGATAATAATAAATATAAAATTTGAATAATCTCATTCACTCGGTAATTTGATTATTAATTTTTATAAATTTAAAAGTTGGTAAGAAACAACCGGACAATATGAAAAAATGTTTCTAATGCTTGGAGACCCGCCATCATATGTATTGGAATTTTTTTGGTTAAAGTGTAATTTTGGTCCTCTAACTTTATATAAGGTTTTAATTTAGTCCCTTAATTTTATAAGATATATTTGAGTCTTTTAACTCTAAGACTATTAGTTTTAAATGATTTTTTCGTACCAATCATTGTTATTTTAAAAAAAATTGAACTTAATAAATTAATATTTGATAATGTTTTTTTAATATTTAAAAGTTCAATATAACTTGTTTTTGTGATGAAATTAACAGTGTTAATGTTAAAAGACTGAAAAAGAAAATATTATTATTGGTCCCTATAATTTCATTAGATCTTGGTTTTAGTCCATGTATCTTCTTTTCATTCTTTTCAGTCACTATAGTTTCAATAAAATTGGGTAACATTTTTTGTCAAGTTATAACGATGTTAAATTATAGGAATTATAAAGAATGAAAACAAATTATAGAGACTTTTGTAAACATAATAAAATTATAGAGACTAATAATTGTGTTTTCTCAACTGAAAATACACTTTATAGAATTAAAGTTTCAAAATAAAATAGTGTATAAAGTTATAGGGGTAAAAGTATATTTATCAAAATTTTCTTTATGTTTTTCTTTTCCTCTGCACGCACACGCACACGGTCAGTACAACATAAAATAATAAATTTCTTTAAGATTTATTTTAAACTCTAACACTACTACTTCTTCTTTTACCCACCGTTTGGATGGAAAGAAAAATTAACAAGAAAGAAAATAAAAGGAAAAAAAGTAAAGAGAAGAGAAAACTGGAAAAAAAAATATTGTTATATCAGAGAAAGTATTGTTATTGCATAAATATAACCTTTCCCCAAATAGGAGTTTTATCAGAGAAAGAAAAATTAAGGGTAAGGTGTAAAAATATTTACAAATATATCAATATAAATATCAAAGCATTCTCATGTTCGGTAATTAGATTTAGCTCGTATCCTCCAAAACGGGAATTGGATTACTTTAATTTCTTTTTCAGTTGACTTGGAAAATATTTTGTATACGTAATTCATATATAAAAGAAGATTGTTCCTTATATCAAGATGGGCTTGAAAAGAAATTAAAGAATCTCATTCACTCATTCAAAGTAAATAACACGGTATAGATATATATGAGATATCTAATTAAGCTGAGCAAATAATAATGTTGGTTAATCTTATCTTTACTTTTTCAAATGACGCTCCTTAACAGATTTTTTAACAACCTAATCAACACGATTTTATTTTAACTCAAATGTTACTGTTATTATATATGGGTGAAATTAAAATATATTGACCTTTCTTCAATTTTAGTAAAATTAATTATTATCGAAACTTCTCTTTTTGAAAAACAACACACTCTTATGTGTTTGAAGAACCAAAAAAAAAAAAGCAGGCATGGATTTATTTATATAATTAAATACTTGATGAAGACAAATTTCTTTTTTCTTTTTTCTTTTTCTGAAGAACCGTCAATTCACATTATCACATAAATGACTGAAAATTAAAGAAAATAATAAAAGAAAGAATCAACGAAATTTGGCAGCTCTTTCTTCCTTCACTTCAAAGTCTTCGCTATCATAACCCAAAAAAAAAAAAACAAAAGAAAAGAACAGTCTTCGCTATAATATGGACAAATATTAAACAAACCATTTTACAAGCTTTTGCTGTCCACATATTGTGGATAAATTTTACAATTTCAAAATCATTTTAATGCAGATGCCTACAAATTGGATAGCTTCTATTTTTTCACTTGACTTGGAAAGAAAAACCCAAAGTAAAATTGTCTTTTGCATTAAAACTTCATCCACTCGAAGTAAATAACACGTACAGAAGAAGAAAGAAAAAAATTCTCTTTCGCATTAAAATTTTGACACAAACCAAAAAAACTGAAAATAAAACTTAATTACATTACTCCGACTTCAGCTTACTTAGCTTGAATTATCTCCAAGTAACACTACTATATATGAGTGTTGAGTTAAAACAATAATCAATTATGGATTAGTGAGTGTGTCTCACTCTCCCTGATCACTCCCTCATGCGTGGATGCATTGTGATTATATTATTTGATGTAATTAATTGAACAACTTTGAGAATCATGCAAAATAAAACTAGTGAATGGCATATTATGATATGTATAGATGAATTATTGTGCCGTGAATAAAGGTTTGTAGAGTCATCCAATAAATAATTTTCAAACTAGGTCCCATATTAACAAATTTTACTGACCACATGTACATGTAATATGGAGGACAAGGTTTGATGGATGAAGAAATGCAAACACACCTTTTTTTGTTAATATATATTTAAATTAACATCACATCTAGAATGATTATCAGCAAAGCATTGAATGTCTGATGCCCTTAACTATAATTAATAATAATAATTCTAAAATTTGAATAATCTCATTCAATTGGTAAGTTGATCATTAATTTTTATAAAATTTAAAAAGTTGGTAAGAAACAATCGGAAAATATATGTACTGGAAATTTTCTTTTCTTCTGCACACGCGTCTACACACACCCGGCACAACATCAAATTAAATAATAAATATGCTATATCCTGCAAAATCCATGTGTCGAATGAAAAGAAAGAGAAACTACTCCATCCATTCTTAAATATATGATACTTGAGGGATGATTTATTTGGTCCAGATTATAAGCCATTGGAGAGGTTATTTTGATGCATTAACTAATTATTTCCAACTTCATTAAACCTAATTAAAAATCTTCTCTCAATTATGAATCAATTGGGGAGAAAATGATAAAAAATTATTTTAGGTAGTTTGAACATGAACAAAAAATATAGCTGGAGGTGTTGAGTTTTTTTGAAGGGATAGAGAAAGATCATAGAGAGAAACATTTATCTTTTTGAACTAGATCTTTTAGTTAATAACATACCTAAAGATTTGGTTACCATTAGAATACAATAATGTTGTGCAATTCATATAGCTGATCCTACCTAATGAAATATAAGGCTTCTTGTTTTTGAATATATTTTCAACATTAATTTGCATTACTCAGACTTCATCTTACTCGAATTATCTCCAAGTAGCTCCACTTATATCACTACGAGTGTTAAGTTAAAATATTAATCAATTGAGG